AAACCTCCCAACTGACAACTGAGGCTAAATAAATCATAAGAATGTGTAGAAACAGTTATTATATTTATTTTATTTTTAAAAAATTACCCAGTTATTAATAATAATTGCACGGTAAACTATTTTGATATATTGACTTTTTCTTTCCACATGAAGAGATCTTTTTAAAAAACAAACAAACACACACACACACATACACATCCTACAATTGCCACTCAGTACTTAAAAGGACTATAAAAGTCTTATAATAACCTTGCACTTATCAACCCACAATAAATATTTCTCCGATTGACTTTGCTTGTCACAAGCTGGCTGGGAAGGTCATATATGACAATTACATGACCATCCGGACATTGAAACAGTCATAAATACATGTCAGTTGCCAAGCACTTGAATTCTGATCATGTGACCATGGGGATGATGGAACTGTTGTGAGTCCAAGGATTGGTTGTAACTCACTTTTTTCTGTACTTTTATAACTTTGAACAGCCGCTAAAGGAATGGTTGTAAATTGAGGATTATCTGAATAGGAATGAGTTACTTCATTTTAGTTACAACCAATTTACAGAAGTGATAAATATATCCCGTACGTTGGCAGGAGAGGTTTTTTTTTATGGAAATCAATGAAGCATGCGAAAAAGTGACTAAGCCATGAGTTGGCTGAAGGGAACATCTGAGCGCTAGGAGTAAGTATCTATCTATCCCCTGAAATCTCTTAAACTCAAATCTCAGTGAAAGGAGAGCACCATCAGAACAACTGACAAGGAAAGCCATTAGTTGAACAGTTACTTAAACTATAATAAACCCCATTACTACTCAAGGCTGACCCTGAACATTTAAGGTTTAAAATTAAACCAGTCTGCAAAGATCCAGAAATCTATTTTGCATCCAACCAGATTTGAGGAAATGCTAAGCAAAATTTGTAACTCTTGTACAATAAATTACTTTTTGGATGTCAAATTTCCATGCTGCATAAGGAGCCTCACTGAAGTCATAAGGTTGCATCTTTGAGCTTCTGTTGGATAAAGGAATCCCTGAGGATTTTACTCCACTAGTTGTTTGCCAACTGTAGGGGGCAATGCTCATCACCATTTCAAGGCCATTGAGCCAGGATGGTTTGAAGACATTTCCACTGTTTTACCTTCCCACCAAACTGGTACCTATTTATCTACTTACATTTGCATGCTTTCAAACTGCTAGTTTAGCAGGAGCTGGAGCAAGTGACGGGAGCTCACCCTATCGCATGGCGCTCAGGTCTCAAACCAGTTTTCCAGCCAACAAACCCAGTGTCTTAACCACTGAGCCAGTGTGCCACTCCTTCTGTCGGATTAACCCTACCAGTTATGGTTGATTCAATACACCTTGGTTAAAGGAACTACGGTTTGGCACAAGGGGCTCCAAACTTGGCGACTTTAAGACTTGTGGACTTCAACTCCCAGAATTTCCCAGCCAGCCATAAAGTTGAGTTGAAATCCACAAGTCTTAAAGTTGCCAAATTGGGAGCTCCTTGGTTTAGCACATGGTGCAAACTCATTGCAAGACATTTTGCTGATCTTATTGTTTGATTAAAGACGCCAGATCTTCTCCCATATAGATAAATGTGCATGAATACTCAAAATACCCTAGGGGGTCTTTGGCATGAAACAAATGAAAAAGTTCTTTGGCATATAAATGTTCTAGCTAGAAATAGCTTTTTGGCCTCCCTGTCTAACTACAGAAGCCCACACAGCTATTTATAGCTAAATAAAACTACAGCACCCAATACAGGGAGTAACCTAAGTTAGTGAAACTTCTGACATTTGATTAAAAGCAAAACCTTTCCAACCTTCAGCATTAAAAGCCTTGATCGTCATACACCAGTGATGGCAAACCTTTTAGAGACCAAGTGCCCAAACTGCACCCCAAAACCCACTTATGTATCGTCGGGTGCTGGGTGGGTGTGCCCCATTGGGTGGGTGTGCCCCCTTGGGTGGGCGTGGCCCATTGAGTGGGTGTGGCTGCGGTGGTAATGGCAGACTGGGCAGAACTAAAAAGTTCAATCAATCAATTCCAACTTTGAGACATCTTTTTTTCCCCCGCGAGAAGTTAAAATTGATTGATTGAACCTTTTTTTTTTTTGCACACGGTGGTGAAGGCCTAAAGCAAAAAGGTTTTATAAAACCCAGCTGAAGGCCTAAGACTAAGGTGATGGTGCGCGTACCCACAGAGAGGACTCTGCGTGTCATCTGTGGCACGTGTGCCACCATGGTCATACACTATCTCAATGTAGTTATGAACAGCTCAGTGTCAGCAACAAATTGAGGAGACGAAAGGCAAAAGACTTCTTGACTTTCTCCCTGGGGGCTCCAGCATATTAGCATAGGCATAAAGAATCCACAGACGGGTCTTAGACATCATATAAATTGCATTAAATTATAGGGTTGGATGGACCTTGGAGATTTTCTAGTCCAATCCCCTGCCCAAGGCAGGAGACCTATACCATCCCGGAGAAACGGTTGTCCAGTCGTTTCTTGAAAACCTCTAATGACGGAGTACCCACAACTCTGGGACCTAAGCTGTTTCATTGATTAATCACTGTCACTGTCAGGAAATTTCGACTTTGCTCCAGGTTGAATGTCTCCTTAATGAACTTCCACCCATTGCTTCTTGTCCTGTCCTTGGAGAGCAAGCCAACTTTCTCTTCTCTGTGAGAGCCCTGAAGTACTGGAGATGTAGGAGATAACCAGGCTGAGCCTGAGGGAGGGGTCAAATGTGTCATCAGTCACGAGTCCCTGTGTGCCATCTAAGTCCAACCCACCTTGAATTACTTCCTATCCTTAACTCCCGCAAATTTTCCTTGACTGTTAGTAGTTCGGATTCTTGCAGAGAGCTTAAGCTTACAACAAATCTTTATACCCCATTTGAAGCATGTCTGGATCTCCTGATTTCCCTGGCACTTGACAGGAAGACTGCTATCACGTCACCCCTAATCCTTCTCTTTGTTAGGCTAGACATATCTAGTTCCCTTAACGATTCATGATTCATTGCACTGTCTGGAAAGGAGCTGAAGGTCACATATGGCTTTTAAAAGAGGCACAGGACAGGCAAGGGGGAAAAAAGTAAATTTTGAGTTATCTTAATTGTAGTTAGATTAAGGTGGCAACATCTACCTCCTTTGGGTTGATCTTCAAAAGTTAAGCAGAGTCAGGACTGGTTAGTAGTTGGATAGGAGGCTATTTTTTGAAAAATCCCATGCTATAGAGCAAACCAAGAAGTCAAAATAACATCCTGGAAGAAGATAAATGCAAATTATTTCTGTACTGTTGCCAAAAGAACATCTCAATATATCAATCCAGTCATCAGAAGTTGAGCTTAGTTGAATGGAAATTCTACCTTATCTTCAAAATAGTATCTCCCTATATTTTCGTTATTTGGTGTTGGAGCCT